ATGTTGTGGATGGCGCCCCTCCCTGGGTAAGGGGGAGTGAAGTGAAGGATTTTGCCCAGTGGTGTTCAGCCACCTCCAGCACGAACAAGGGGGAGTATTGATTGTGTAGGTGGTTGTGGTATTTTGCTCTAGCTGGTTGTGGGCTAAGGGTTTGGACAAAATGTGGTGGTTAGACTTGTTGCGAGCTGGAATTGATCTCGCACCCAACAAGCACCAACAAACCTTTGCTATTCACTACAACACCTTTGGTGTTGCTGGTTTAGCACTCTAGGTTGTTGGGGATTGTTGTAGGGCGAGGGTTGGGTTGGTAGGGTTTGAACAACTCGTCACTTTTCAGATCTGAACTCTTGCTAAAGCTAGTCTCTTGATCGAATCCATGGCTGCCTATTAATTCCGCCAGAATACACCGTCGTACTTAGATCGCGATAGCTATTAGCCTAGATCTTGGTTGAAAGCGTGCGTTACCATTCTGGAAAGTAGAGATTAAGACCTTTCCAACGCGTACCTGCTCATAGTTTAAGGTTACGTGAGCTGAACGCAATGTTCCGTCGAAGTCGGCGGACTTAATCTCTTGTACTTCGACGCAACATTGCGTCAGCCTTCGACCCAGGCTGACGGGTGAACGTGGCCAGGTGACGGCCCGTCCATGCACACGTGCAGATCGCCATACGCTGTCCTCCAGGGGTAAAGGTATCAACCCAAGCATCCTGAAGGATGGCGTTACTCACCAAGTTCGTAGAGAACGAGAGGAGGTAAAGACCTGTTAGTGAGCCAGACGGAACTGCCGGACACGGAAGAACAGTGGAGGAACGTGCAAGAACTGGGCCCCCGGAGGGGTTAGCCAGAGAGACTGCAACAGGTGCAAAGAGTTGTGTGACTGTTGTACTGTCGCGAAAGAAGCAGCGGGAAGCATTTGAGTCAAGCCTGAAGGTGTGCAAGGCCTCAGCAGGCGCAGTACCAGAGAGAGCAGACTCACTAGCACCTAGAGCAGTAGCCTCAATACCAGGGTCGGGCGGCACACACAAGTAACAACCACCCTCACTACCAATAGTCAAAGCATACATGGCAGTGAGGATAGCGTCATAGTCTAGAGCAAATATATCCACATTGTTCCGAAACAGCTCTAGCCAGCGGGGATGCTCAGCCGCGTTTGTGAGGATCTAGTTCAGGAAATATGATTCTATTGAATGATTCACCTGGGTACAAGGCGAGGCTATATATAGGCTCAGCACAAGGCAGGTAACCCAGGTGTTACGCGAATGTTCTGAGGGTCGCGAAGCATCCCGAACAAAACCTTCCCGAACTCGGTAGAAAGCAATTCGGAGGGAACCGAAAAGGCTTGAGTTCGGTACACGTAACCTGGTTTCAGTGCTATAACTAAAATAACATATAGGAATGCACCTAACCTAGGAAATCAAGCATATCTATGCATGATAAATAAAACTTAAGCTAGTAATGGCATAAGAAAGTCTAAGAAAGCTAGCAAAGCCAGCATAAGCCGTCGTGCTCTCACACGTCCTTCCCTCAAAGCTGGGTGGCGTAAGAAACACCCTGCCTGACAAGATAGTCTTTGAGAGCACGACATGCGTTGCTTGTATTGGTGTCTGCAACCCAACTGTCCTTCGATGGGTCATATCCCTTCCAGCGTATCAGGAACTCGAGCGTGTTGCCACGTCTGCGTCGATGAGCGAGCACTCGTTCCACCTCGTACTCTGGTTCACCCTGTACAAGAACAGGTGGTGGTGGCGGTAGTTGGCGTCCCTGGAACTGTTGGTTGGGGTCCTTGTAGGGCTTCAGTAGCTGAACATGGAAAGCATTGTGAAGCCTTCACTTTGTAGGTAAGCGTACACGAAATGTTACTGGTGTCACCTGTGCCTCAACGCGAAAGGGACCACAGAAGCGAGGCCGGAGCTTGGACGGAAGGTGAGATAAATCCAAGTTGCGTGTGTCAAGAATCACCTAATCTCCGACTGATACTGAGTGATCTCGTCGCTGGCAATCGGCATACTGCTTCTGGGAGTTCTGCATTGTGGAAAGACGTGGTTGAGTCTTCTCCAATAGCTACTGCATGGTGGTGACGAAGTCGTGTGCAGCTTGGACGTATGCCGGTGTGGCTGGCTGCTGTGGTGTAAGTGGTTCTCGTCCGTAGCACAGGACGAAAAGAGTTTTCCCTGTGGCTGCATGTGACGCGTTGCTGTAAGCAAACTCTAGGGTCGGTAACTGTGTGTCCTAGTGGCTGACATCGTCTTTGCAAGCTATGCGCAGTAACTGTTCAACCACCTGATTGAGTCGCTCTGTCTGTCCGTCAGTCTGGGGGTGGTACGCTGAAGACATTGCAAGCTTTGTCCCCAACAAACCCATGAGTTCCCTCCTGAACTTACTGGTGGGTTTTGGGTCTCTGTCTAAGATGAGTGTAGTGGGGATGCCGTGGATAGTGATGATGCGGTCGAAGAAGAGGCGATCAGTTGCTTCAGCTGTAGCCGTGGTGTTGGTCGAGATGAAGTGACCCATTTTGGAGAACTTGTCAATCACCACGAGTATAGCGTCACGCCCTCGTGAGGTCAAAGGAAGTCCTGTAATGAAGTCGAGGCTAACGACCTGCCATGGCTGCTCTAGTACGGGTACTGACTGAAGTAACCCTGATTTTTTCTGCTTGCTGCTCTTCATCCGCTGGCGCGTGTCGCATGAGGCGACGAACTGCTGCACGTCTGCTGCCATCCCAAGCCAGTTGTAATACTTCGCTATCCCTGCTAACGTCTTGCTGCTCCCGAAATGTCCCACGTACTGTACGTTGTGAAACTCCTCCAGCAAAATCTGTCAGAGCGGGGCATACTTTGGTACCCAAATCTTTCCTTATCCCTTTCTTACAACTTAGTCATTTTCCCACTATAACAGCTTCTGTTTCTCTGCCGTAGTAATCTCTGCATCCACGGAGTACCCATGTTGGAATAGACCCTTGAGCAGAGGGTTCATCCCGTCGAGCTGGATGCCTGCTATATGTCCGGGGCGGCTCAACGCGTCTACTTTGTTGTGTAGCCCGGGCTTGTAGATGATGTCGTAGTGGAAGTGTTCTCCAAGAAGTCCAACCACCGCACATGTCGTTGTGAGAGTGTCGGATGCGACTTCACGTATTTGAGGCTGCAGTGGTCAGTGTAAACTGTAGTTTTGGCTCCCTCTAGGTAACACCTGCATGCCTTGAAGGCTGTGAATATCACTAAAGCTTCCTTGTCATGGATTGGGTAATTCAATTCTGCTCTATGTAGCTTCTTACTGAGGCAGGCGATGGGCTGCAAACTGCGTCCGTGATGCTGCATTCGTACTGCTCCGACTGCTTGGTCACTGGCATCTGCTTCCACCACGTAGTCTCTGTCTGGATACGGTAGGATGAGTACTGGCGCTGTAGTCAGTGCTGTCTGTAGCTGCTCCATGGCGCTGCTGTCTTAGCGTACCGTGGCACAAACCTGTTGTAGTAGGTAGCAAAGCCTAGGAGCTGCTGCAACTCCTTTATGTTCTCAAGAACATTCTCTATATCCGTCCAGCTTCGCAGCTCCACTCATTTCCCGTTGTTGTAGATGCACGTTTTCCGGTTGACCCAGTCGATCTCGGGGTTGAACCGCTTCAGAAAATCACGCCCCAAGATGAAATCTAATTCCTTGATGTTCGTGATTGGCAACGTCGGCTTCCACCTCAATGCCCCCATCTGCAGCTGCAGTGTTGACTTGTCGTGGATGGGAAGCTTCGTACCGTCCACCATCGTTGCTGTAAACTGGGTCTCTTCGTAGGATTCTCCAATTTTCTCCAACGTCCCGTGGTCGCACACCGAGTGGGACGCACCACTGTCCACCAGGGCCTGGAGGCGACGCCCGTTGCATATCACCTCGAGAACTAATGGTTGCTGCTGCTCCGAGTAGCCGTAGATGGTATGGCCTATAGGATCGTAGGGCACGTCGAATATGTCATCCCTAGGTCCCGCGCTCGAAGATGCAGCTTCAATATCAGCTGATCATTTTTTGCTGTCAAACATTCATGCTATAGTCTTTCTAGGCTATAGTGGGGTAGATAGTATGGGGTACAGTTTCCTAGGGTTATATATTTGTACACAACTCATTTCCTAGTCAATCATTCCTCGTAACTCTTTTACATGGTATAGAGCGAATTCCCTAGTGGGAACGTTTTCTAGGGCCCACCACTACTACGAAAACTTTTTCCTTACCTGCCCAGAGCGCACTTCCCGCCTGCCCTAGTTGCGCCCCGTGCGCCTGCCCTCCCGTTGCGTCCCCTGCCCTTAGCGGCCCGTTGCGCCCCTTAAGGCCCCTTCGCGGCCCCTTCTTGGCCCTTCGCGGCCCCTCTTTCAGCCCTTCGCGGCCCCTTTGCGGCCCTTCGCGGCCCCTTCGCGGCCCTTCGCGGCCCCCCTCACGGCCCTTCGCGGCCCCTTAGCGGCCCGTCGCGCCCCTTAAGGCCCCTTTGTGGCCCCTTCTTGGCCCTTCACGGCCCCTCTCTCAGCCCTTCGCGGCCCCTTCGCAGCCCTTCGCGGCCCTCCTCACGGCCCTTCGCAGCCCCTTAGCAGCCCGTCGCGGCCCTCCTCTACTCTGCTCGACGACCCGCCACTGTGGCCCCGCCCTGCCCCTCTCGCCAGTCGCGGCCTCCACCTGCAGCAGCCGGCGAGGAGCCCTGCAGCAGCTGCTGTCCCTGCCGCCGCCGCCGAGCCTGCCTCCACCGGTGTGACGAGCCGCCGCCTCCGCTGCCATCGCTTCTGCCCCGGCCCTGCCCTGCAGCTGAGCCGCAGCCCTGACCTACCGCCCAGTTGCGGCCCCGACCCTGCCGGCGCACCACGGCCCTACCCCACCAGTAGCGGCCTCCCTACCCACCCGCCCCTGGTAAGCGCACCGCCGAACCGCGCTGCCCTGCCTAGCCGAGCCACCCTGCCTAGCCGCGCCGCCCTATCGAGTCGCGCCGCTACAGCTGCTCCTGCTGCTCTTACTGCTCCTGCTATTGCTGTTATGGTTGCCCCCAACGTACTCAAGTTCGATGCTGAGGGTCGAGCAGTAGATTTTGAGGTCTGGGTCGATGATCTGCAGCTGTTCCTACAGTGCGATAGCAAAGATCAGGTCTCGCTTTTTTATCTCACGTCTGGCGCCTCTACTGCAACTGCTGCCACTGCTAATAGTAATGTTCGCTCACAGTGGACCACTCGCGATGCTGCTACTCGCCTTGCTATTCGTAGTCACCTGCCGTCTGCTGAGAGCGCGCAATTTAGTCAGTACAAGACCGCTAGGACTCTGTACGACGCTGTTGTTGCGCGCTACTCCTCCCCTGCCACTGCTGCCCTTAGTCGCCTCATGATGCCGTACCTGTTTCCTGACCTAACCGCTTTTGCCACAGTCGCTGACCTCATCACGCACCTCCGCACTAGTGACACCCGCAACCGCGCTGCGCTTCCTGCCGACTTCTGTGCCAAGAACCCCCCCCCTATGTACATCACTCTCTACTACCTCGTCACCTGGCTCTCTGACTCCCTTTGCTCGGTCAAGGATCACTTCCTCTCCCCTTGCCCCACCGAGCACACCGTTGACCTCCTTGAGGAGCGCCTCCTTGCGGCTGAGAAGAGTATAATCGCTATAGGGGCCTCTCGTGGTGACCCTCGTGCCCCTTCCTTTGAAGGGTGCTCCCCCTCTCCCCTCTGCTGCCTCTACTACTGCTGTCGACCTCGTTGGCACAGAGTCGGTCGGCGGTGCGTCTGCTCCTAGTGGGAGGCGTCGCACCAGCAAGGGCAAGGGGGGCAAGGGGGGTGGAGGGGGCGGCGGGGGCGGCAGTGGTGGCGGTGGAGGTGGCGGAGGGGGTGGGGGTGGAGGTGGAGGTGGGAGTGGTGGCTCGGGTGGGGACTTGGGTGGCGGCGGTGGAGGTGGAGGCGTCGGAGGCAGCGGGAGTGGGGGTGGAGGTGGCTGCGGCGGGGGTGGCGGGGGCGGTGGTGGGCAGTGGGGAGGCACTAGCGGTGACCAGCGCCAGCAGCAGCAGCGCTCCCATGAGACCCTGTCACCTCAGCAGCTCCGTGAGTGGTACGCTGGGCGTGGGAGGTCTGGGGGTGCTGGTCCTTGCACTTACGTTCTTCGCACCGGCGACCGCAGTGGAGAGACATGCGGCGGCCCGCACACAACACCTCGCTGCTTCGGCCGCCTGACTGACGTTTGGCATACCTAGTTCCCTGGCTCTACTGAGATCCCACGCTGGGATATTCTGCTTAAGTCGGGGGTTGCTATCTTTGATCTTGACTTTGATGATATCCTTGCTGCTATGTATGCTGTGTCTATTAGTGCGAAGGGTGACTATTACCTGTGTGTTCCGCCCGACCCGGGCATTGAGGCTGCTGCGCTAGGTGCTAGTGACTCTACTGCTCCAAGTGATGGTGAGACTGCTCTCTCAGGTACAGCGTCGACTCAGGTCTTACACACTTTCACCCTTGACTCGGGTGCTTCCCGCTCCTTCTTTCGCGACTGCACTACGCTCTCGCCGCTCAGTCGGCCTGTGGCAGTCCTTGGCGGACCCCTCTGGGGGACCAGTTGTCGCCCGTTCCTCCAGTGTTCTCCCGTGTCCTACGGCTCCGTCTGGCTCGCTGTCTGGTCTTCACCTCCCCTCGTTCTCTACGAACTTGGTGGCAGGTGCTGATCTTCAGGATGGGGGTGTTCACCAGTTCACCCCTGCCTATCAGCGTGTGACACACTGCACGTGTGCTCAGACGGGTCGTCACCTGGCCACGTTCACCCGTCGGCCAGGGTCCAGCCTGTACACCCTTACCACTGAGTCTCCTCCTATCACTGCGACTGGTCAGGTAGCCGCGTCGGGTCAGGTGTTTGCTGCGGTGTCCCGGTCTATTCTCGGTCTGGCCCTGATTCTGCCACCTGCTCGTGTTGCCTCCCGACTCACGAGACTCTCCTTTGGCACCACCGCCTTGGTCACCCCTCCCTGCCTCGTCTCAGAGGCATGGCCTCCCGTGTCCTTGTCTCTGGTCTCCCCCCTTCCCTTCCTCCCCTTCCTCCGGGGCCTGCCCCTACCTCCATTCCCTGCGTCGAGGGCCGGCAGCGCGCTGCTCCTCACTCCTTCGAGTTTCCTCCGACAGAGGCTCCCCTGCAGACTCTTCACATGAGGTGTTGATCGACTGGATCCGCGCTGCTCGTCTCCAACTCCGAAAGAGTTTCGGCTCGGACTTTCCTGTTGTGCGGCTGCACTCAGACAGAGGTGGAGAGTTTTCCTCCGACCTTCTGCAGGCCTACTGTCGGGCGGAGGGCATCAGCGAGACGTTCACGCTTCCGGCCTCTCCCTGCCGTGCCGTGTACTCCCGTGCCGCTCCCTGCATCTTCCTTGGCTTCCCCCCTGACGCTCCTGGCTGGCAGTTTTACCGCCCCACCTCGCGCCGTGTTCTGTCCTCTCAGGACGTCACGTTTGACGAGTCGGTTCCCTACTACCTTCTCTTCCCCTACCGCACTGCCCCCCTCCCCCCCCCGCCACTCTTCCTCACGCCAGGTCCTCCCCAGGTAGACCCCCTCCCCCCTTAGTGTCCTGCCCCCTCAGGTGTGTCCCAGGTAGACGCAGTCGAGCCTGTCGAGGTAGCTGTTAACTCTGGTGCTGCTAAGGGTGCTCAGCCTACGAGTGCTGGGTCTGGGGGTGCTGAGCCTGAGCATGCGGAGCCTTCGGGTGCTGAGTCTGGGGGTGCTGAGCCTGAGGGTGCTGAGCCTGGGGGTGCTGAGCCTTGGGGTAATGAGCCTGGGGTTGCTGATTCTAGGGGTGCTGAGACTGGACGTCCTCCGAGTGTCCCGTTGCAGCGGGAGCCCCTCTCTCCACGACAGCTTCGTGAGTGGTACGCTCGGCTCTGTAGCCGTGCTGCTGGAGCTGGGGGGTCTACTGCTGGAGGTGCTGCTGGTGCTGGAGCTGCTGGAGGTGCTGCTGGTGCTGGTGCTGCTAGAGGTGCTGCTGGTGCTGGAGCTGCTGGAGGTACTGCTGGTGCTGGAGCAGCTGGAGGTGCTGCCTGTGCTGGAGCTGCTGGAGGTGCTGCTGCTGCTGGAGCTGCCGGGCCGCTGGCCCTGGAGGTGCTCATATTGGAGTTTCTGGAGCTACTAGGACTGGAGTTGCTGCGGGAGTTAGAGCTGGAGGTGCTGGAGCTGCTAGAGCTACTGGTGGTGCTGCGGGAGTTGTAGCTGGAGACCCTGGAGCTGAGGGTGCTGGTGGTGTCTCTGCTGGTTCTGGAGGCGCTCCTTCAGCAGGTTCTTGGTCTCCCGCCTGCTCCTGGTCCTACTCCCTCTTTATAGTGTCCTCTGCCTGTCCAGTCGCGGTCACAGTTACAGCCTGCCTCGCCACTCCCTAATCCTTCTCCCTACACTTGTCCGACCGGAGGTCTTACGGAGCGTCGTGAGCCTGAGTCTCGTCCTACGTCTTGAGCCTGAGTCTCGTCGTGCATCGCCTGTTCATGCTGCTCGCACTAGTCGTCGTGTTCCGCGTCAGCGTCCTCCTGCTGTCCCAGGCACACACCAGATGGCGCTTCGTCCTTCCACTGCTCCACAGCGTGTCCCTCTGCCGTCTCCTCCTGAGTCCTCTCTTCCTGCTCTTGCTGACCCGGAGTCTGACTCCCTTCGTGCTACTAGTCCTACTGTCACGCGTCTCCTGGCCACTGTTGTCACTGACCCTTCCTTTGAGTCCACTGCTGCGTCTGCCTAATTTGCTGAGCTTGTCGACTTTGCTGCTCACTATCGTCTCGACTACGCCGCTAGTCTTGTTGCTGAGTATGAGTCTGTCTGTCCTCCATCCGTCGGGGGTGAGTGTGCTCTTAGCACGGACGTCTTTGTGGACCAACAGGAGGAGTTTGACTACTTTGCCACTGCTTTACCTCATCTCGTGTCCATGCTGATTACCCCTGAGGGAGACTTGGATGCACCAGACATCCCGACCCTGCGCTCTTACGCAGAGGCGATAGAGGGTCCCTACTCCTCTCAGTGGCAGTCAGCCATGGACGCGGAGATAGCTTCTTGGAAGTCCACATGCACCTACGTCGACGAGGTTCCCTGGCCTGGGGCGAACATCGTTAGTGGCATGTGGATTTTTAGGGTGAAGCGGCCGCCGGGTTCTCCGCCTGTCTTCAAGGGGCATTACGTTGCACGAGGCTTCAGTCAGCGTTAGGTAGTTGACTTCTTCCAGACCTTCTCCCCTACCCCGAAGATGACCACTCTTCGGGTTCTGCTGCACGTCGCCGCTCAGCGTGACTACGAGCTCCACTCTCTTGACTTCAGCACCGCTTTCCTACAGGGCAGCCTGCACGAGGAGATCTGGCTGCGCCGCCCACCTAGCTTCACTGGGTCGTTTCCTCCTGGTACCCAGTGGAGCCTCCGGCGGCGGGTCTACGGTCTCCGCCAGGCACCGCGTAAGTGGCACGACACACTGAGGACTGAGAAGAATTGAACGAGGATGAAATGACTATGAACGAAGTGAGTACAAATAGGAAACCCTAATTGGGTTGTACCCCCTATGGGATACCCCACTATAGCCTACACAAATAAGTAAGCTATAATATTCTGACAAGGACGACTCTTGCTGCTCTTGGGTTTGCTCCTTCTACTGCTGACCCGTCGCTGTTTCTACGCCTCGACACCACTCTGTCGCCGTTCTACATTCTAGTGTACGTAGACGACTTGGTTTTTGCTACTGCTGACACTGAGGCACTCGCCACGTGAAGTCGGAGCTGCAGAAGAGACAGACGTGCACAGACCTAGGTGAGCTGACAAGCTATCTTGGCTTGCAGATCACCCGGGACAGAGCACAGCGCACCATTACCCACATCGTCAAGGGCTTGCCGCGTAGCTACAATCTCATGAAGAGGATGATGATGGTGCCCGGCACGCGTGAGTCCCTCGACGAGGACTCCATCACCAGCTACATTCTTCAAGATGAGGCGATGCAGGAGGCCGAACAGCCCATAGAGCTCCTTCCGCAGGAAAACTACGCTGCATCGACGAAGCTGAATCAGCAGCAAGGGCAGCGCGGGAAGCCGGGCGGAAGTGGTAGCGGAGGCGGGCGGTCGACGAAGGACGTCGACGAGAAGCGGTCGACGTGGGACAAGGGTCGACGAGGTGGTGGTCGACGGCGGGAGTGCTAGATCTGCGGCGACCCCGACCATCTCTCTTTCGAGTCCCCTGACCGCGATGACAGCGACGAGGACGACAAGGGAGGTCGCGGTCGATCAGCCAGTCATCGCCCCCGTCGAGTTGAGAAGCCGCGCAAGGAGAAGCAAGCGTCGAAGAAGACGTCGTCGACGAAGACGTCGACAGCTCCAGCGGCAAGAGCCGAGGTGACGGGGAGGCGTCGTGCTCGATGGTCGGCGTCGTGGAGCCGACGGTCTCGCTGGCGCCGGAGGCTGGCGAGGACTTCCAGGCAGTGGCGGCAGTTGTGCAGGCCAACCCGATGGCGGTGCTGCTCGACAGCGGGTGCTCCCACCACCTGATGGGGACGAAGTCGGTCTTCGTCGACATGGGGCCGAGCGACGGGGTGAAGCACGTGCGTGGGTTCAACGGGGCATTGCAGCCTGTCGAGGGTCGCGGAACCGTCGCTCTGCAAGGGGAGACCGGGAAGCAGGTCCTGATCCTCAACGTACTCTACGTTCCGGGCGTACAAGCGAACCTACTGTCTGCAGGCCAGCTGAAGGAGAGCGGAGTGCTGCTGCAGGGCGATGGTGACGAGATGCTGCTCGTCGCCGCGACCGGGGAGGTGCTCGGTCGAGCACGCTACACCGGACGAGTCCTCTGCACCGACCTTCGCCCCTGCTCGACGCAGTCGTAGTCGACCGAGGTGGTGGCTCTGCGGACGATCATCTCCGCGATGAAGACGACCCCCGATAGGATGCATGCGCGGCTCGCCCACGTCAGCGTCGACACAATCAAGAGCTCGGCGAAGCATGGTGTTGCTACTGGGCTCGACATCACGTCGCCGACCGGAGCAGATCCGCCGTGTGTCTCGTGCGTCGAAGGAAAGCTTGCGCGACACACCTTCCCCGCCAAGGGCTCGGACGCAGCGGAGGCGCTGGGTGTCGTGCACATTGACTAGTGCGGGCCATTTCGGGTGGCTGCCAAAGATGGCAGCTTGTACTTCCTGGTGCTGAAGGATCGTCATACTCGATTTGTATGGGCAATGCCGGTCGCTAAGAAGAGCGATGTGCTGCGGGAGTTCCAGCGGTGGCTGGTGCTGGTGGAACGGCAGTCGAAGAAGTCGGTGCTGCCGCTTCGATCCGATCGAGGAGGGGAGTTCCTCGGGAAGGCGTTCACCGACTTCGTCGACGGGAAGGGCATCGTCCACGACCTGACGTGCCCCTACACTCGTCAGCAGAATGGCATGGCTGAGTGGGAGATGCGCACAGTCGTCGAGTCCGTGCAGACGATGCTGCTGCACATGGGCGTGCAGCACCACTGGTGGCACCTTGCTCTACGATAGGCTCTCTGGGTGCGCAACTGCTTGGAGCGGTCGACGACGCCGCCGGGGACGACTCCGTACCAGCTGCTGACCGAGACGAAGCCCGACCTTATGCTTGCGCGGGTGTGGGGCTGCATGGTGCAGTTTATGGTTCCCGAGCAGCAGCGCGGTGGGAAGCTGGCGCCGAAGGCTCGCTGGGGACTTCACCTGGGTGTGTCGACGGAGAGCAAGGGCTGGGAGGTGCTTGACCTGACCGACAACCGGGTGGTCACGTCGGTCGAGGTGATCTTCTACGAGACGTTGTCGCTGGAGGTGTGGAAGGCCAAGTATGGGCCGGCGTTAGGGCGGACGCAAGCGCACCCGCCGACGGACACCTCGACGGCGACGGTTCCATTGCTCGCCAACGTCTACGAGCCTGCTGATGAGGATCTTGTGGAGGTTCTTCCCCCTTCCCCTGTCCATGCTCCTCCGTTCCCCGTCGCAGATCGGCCTGGGTCGGCACCTGTGTCGACCACCGGCGATGAGGGGAGCCTCGAGGCGTCGCCTGTGGCACCGGCCCAGGGCATCGCCGACGGTCGACAAGGCGTCAAGCTCGTCGACCAGGGTGGGAAGCCGTCGGTGACAGAGGAGCAACAAACAGGGAATCCGGTCGAACAGGAGGCAACAGCAGCGGTGCAGCCGATAGGGGAGCAGCAGCCGGGGCGGTCGACAAGGGAGCTGTCGAAATCAGCAGCAGCCGGTCGAAGGGTCAAAGCAGCTGGTCGACGACGAGGACGTCGATGAGGAAGGGGAGCAGTCGGTGGGTGAGGAGTCCACCGACAGCGATGTGGTGGAAGTGCCGATCACGAAGCCTGAGCCGCGACGCACAGGTCGAGCTCGACGGCCACTGGAGCGGCTGAGCTTCCATGCCTGCCTACCGCCAGCCGCCTTCACCACGGTGTTCGACGAGGTCGACGACGACCTGTGGTACGACGACGCCGAGGAGGATGACGACCTGCCGGAGCTCGACCCTGGCGTGCATGCCGACCCCGAACACCGCTGGGACATCGCCACGATGACGGTGAAGGAGGCGCTGTCGTGCTGGAAGGGCAAGGCGGTGAGGGTCGCCATGGAAGAAGAGATTCGCAGCCTCATTG